GGGTTTCTGATCACTGTCAGTGGCAGGGGGCTTCTTCCTGCTTTCCCTTTCGCCTCCCTGCATTGTGCCTACATATGCAAATTAACCGCCATCTTGTTGGCAGTTAACTGCCAATCTTAGTTGGCAGTTAATTTGCATATAGCCCTGATTAGCCAATGAAAAGGGTAGCGTCATACGCCAATTACCATTTTTCTCTTTTATTAGTGTACTTGTGGTGAATGCACTTTGGTTTTGAAGGACATGTTTAGGTTTTAGGGTGATTGCATACACTCTAAAGTATCTGAAATTGTGTCTTTGTTCTTAGGTAGGAAAACATATGATGTGATTGTGATAGATCCACCATGGCAGAACAAGTCAGTTAAAAGAAGTAACAGGTAGGTATAAATAAGTCTTCTATTAGATATGTTCTCTGAAGGCTATCGTCCTTTGAACATTTTAGTTACATGTGCTAAAAACATTAGTTTTTGATATAGGTTGTCTCAAACTGCTAAAACACTTTAGTATTAAAGTTTTAATTTCTTTAAGAGGATAATTCTCTTGAACTAGAGCTATATATAGGTGTAAAGATGTTAAAAGTAACATATTTATTAATTACTGAATTTACTGACTGAACCTGTTCAGGGATGTTTCTGCAAAGGGCAACATTTTTGCCTTCTTTAATATCAAACACTAAAGTTTCAAAATATATACCATAGTATGGATTTCCTTAATAATCTGACTTTTTCCCTAAGCTGCTGGAGGTAATCTGTCATACCTGGTAGGATTGTGCTTGTGTAGTGTGTGTGTGTGTGTGTGTGTGTGTGTGTGTGTATGTGTGTGTATGTATGTGTGTAATCTGTTTATTATAGCTTTTACAAATGTATTACCTAGATATTATCTGACCAAAGATATGAGACCTCTACACTGAAAATTATAAAATATTTTTGAGAAAAGTTAAAGGAAATATTTAAAAATTTTTTCAGTTATAGTTGACATACAATATTATAGTACTTTCAAGTGTAGAACATAATGATTAGACATTGATATATCTTATGAAGTTATCACCCCGATAAGTTTAGTATCCATCTGGCATCATATTTAGTTACTATAATATTATTGAATATATCCCCTAAGCAAAGAGAATCTTAATAAAAGAAGATGTCCCATATATAACTGGAAGACTTAATATATAAATAGTGTCTATTCTCCCTAAATTGTCTAGGTTTTTTGCAATCTCAAACATCATCTTACAAGATATTTTATTTCCGGTGAGAATTGAAAAAGTGATTCCATAATTTATATGGAAATGCAAAGGGCCAAAAATAGCCAATGCAATAAAAAAAATTCAATTTATGTATAGTTGGTATGCAATCTTATATTGGTTATTCTAGTTTCATGTATACAATATAGTGATTTGACATTTTTTATCTGATAACCCCAATAATTTTAGTAATCTGTCACCATGCAAACTTACCACAATTTTATTGATGATATTCCCTTTCTCCTTTTTACTTATTCCTCCACCGCCTCCCTTCTGGTAACCATCCCTTTGGTCTCTGTTTCTATTAAGTATGTTTTTGATTTGTCTTGTTTATTTTGTTTTTTAAGATTCTACATGTAAGAAAATCCTTATGGAATTTGTCTTTCTTTGCTTGACATTTCACTTAGCATAATACACTCTAGAATAGACCCATCCATGTTGTTGGAAATGGGAATATTCCATTCTTTTTTATTGCTGTGTAATACTCCATTTAGTGTGTGTGTGTGTGTGTGTGTGTGTGCGCGCGTGTGTGTGTTTTTGTATGTATAGCACATCTTTATCCATTCATTTGTTGATGGACACCTAGGTTGCTTCCATGTATTGGCTATTATAAATAAGTAGAGGCCTGGTGCACCATGGGTAGGGTCCCTAGGCTTGACTAGTGATTAGGGCCAATCAGGTTCCCCACCTCCTCGCTTCCCTGCCACCTCCTTGCTTCCCTACCACCTCCTTTCCTTGCTCTCTCAGTGCCCTGCAACTGCTCTGCTGGTTGCCTGCCATGTTCCACGCTGCCCCCTTGTGGTCAGCACACTCCATAGTGAGTGATCGAATTCCCCATCTCCTGGTAGAACTCCTGAGGGAACAATTTGCATATTAGCCTTTTATTGTATAGGATGCTGCAGTGAACTTAGGGGTACATATATATCTGTTTGAATTATTGTTCTCATTTTCTTTGGTTAAGTACTGCAAAGAGGAATTGCTGGGTTGTATGGCATATCTATTTTTAGTTTTTAAATGGACCTATTTTTAGTTTTCTATAGGAGCTGCACCAGTTTTCAGTCCCAGCAACAGTGCACAAGGATTCCCTTTCTCTGTATCCTTGCCAACATTTGTTATTGACTTTTTGATACCCATTCTGACAAGTGTGAGGCAGTATCTCATTGTGGTTTTGATTTGCATGATAATTAGTAATGTTGAGCATCTTTTTGTATTATTCTTTGGAGAAATGTCCTTTCATGACCTTTCTCCATTTTCTGTTGTATTGCTTTTTTTTTAATTATTGAGTTGTATGGGTTTCTTATGTATTTTGGATATCAACTCAGATCAGAAATGTCATTTATGAATATATTCTTTCTTTCAAGTAGGTTGTCTTTTTGTTTTGTTGAAGATTTATTTCACTGTGCAGGAGCTTTTTAGTTTGTTGAAGTCCCACTTGTTTTTTGCTTTTGTTTCCATTGCTCGAGGGGATATATAAAAAAAGATATTACTCAGACTGACTTCCTATGTTTTCTTCTGGGACTTTTATGGTTTCAAGCCTTACATTTAAGTCTTTAACCATTTTGAGTTTATTTTTTTTAGCCAATAACTTTTTCAATTACATTTTGCATTCATCATTATTTTATATCAGTTTCAGGTGTACAACATACAGTTACCCTGCGCTAGAGTTGGATTCCAGCGTTTATTGTATTTGGCCATTTTGATGTCATTTACTCTTTCTAGAGCAGATTTAATAGTAGAAACCTCATTGTAGTCAATTGAGGAATATAGGAGAGATAGCAGAAAGACTAATTGCATATCAGCCCTTAATTTAGGTGTAGGCAGGAGAACAAATTGAGGAAAATTCTCTGTTCTATAGGAAACATTAGAGGTTAGCATGGCTGGATAGCATACCTCTCAAAGAGAAGGGGATTTTATGCAAGGATGGATGAATTATATCCTGGAAGCAGCAATAGGGGACCTAGGAAAAATCTGACCTCTCTTCTCCCAGTTGTATGTATTGAGTGTTGGAGAAAGGGCAACATATATTTGATTGAGTATTGTAGAGCAAGTAGTGCAAGGGAAACTAGACTTCATACTATTAATGGCCATGAGATGCAAGACTAGGATTTTTAATTTTTTAAATTTTTTTGTAATGAAAGCATGAGGGTTTTAGAGAGGCCAGTGGAATTGATTGGGAAGGAAGAAAAAAGGATGATAGACTGAGGGATGAAAATACGATAGAATGTTGAGACAGTAGTGTCAAGACTCACTGTGACAGGGTCCCTGTGTAATGTACAGATTATGACAACTAAACAATAATGGTAAAAAGCATGTTGTAAATATTAGTAAAATCACTGAAATGTAATACATTTAGAAGTGATAAAGAAATATAGCCTGACAAGTTTAAACAAGTAAAAACAAAAAATGAAGTTATTTCTGACTTGCCTGTAATAGTGTGTCCACTGGATGTCACTGTGGGTTCATATTTAGTAATACAAATACATACCTATGGGAGCTTTGTTTTTATGGAGTGTTATACAGGTTTTTTCCTCTGCTTATTCTTATCTTTGCAGCAAATTTTGCTAATATTTTTCCATTTATTTTTAGGTATAGTTATTTGTCACCACTGCAAATAAAACAAATACCTATCCCTAAACTGGCTGCTCCAAACTGTCTTGTTATTACTTGGGTGACTAATAGACAGAAGCACTTACGTTTTGTAAAAGAAGAACTTTATCCTTCGTGGTCTGTGGAGATAATTGCTGAATGGCACTGGTTAAAAGTAAGTTCAGAAGTTAATTTGTTTGTTCATATAGCATGACATGTAAGTCACATTAATACAGCATCTACTTTTTAATACTTAACACGTCGCTGCTCTACTCCTTCAACATAGTCTAATTAAAACTTCTACTTTGCTGCTAAATACTTTTATCTTTTAATTTTTAAGGCTTTGTTTGTTTCCTCTTGTTTTGTAACAGAGTTCTAAACTACTGGCCTTAGTAAGCCACTCAAAGAAATATCAGGATAACTTTTTAAAAAGCTCTGATGTATGTAGTTTAAAAAACAACAAACAAACATTTTGAGGAATCTGTTCATCACTAAACATAGAAAAGGCCTTACCTTTCGTCTTCTTCCTCTTTACACATCCACAATTTCAGTCACCATTTTTTAACTCTTTTCCTTTCTTTCTTTTGTTGCTGGGGATGGGAGGGAGAATAGCAAAGTAACCCAGTGTGGAAGAGATGGGAAGGTGCTAGAAATAAGAACTTTTCATACTTTAAATCTTAACTTGGGCCCTTCGGTGCCTTATGTGCTGCTGTGCATATTTTTTAAAGGAATGATTGCAACACTTATATTGGTTGAATGATCTTTAATATCTTGCTTGCTATAAGAATACCAAAATATACAGAAAAATTAAAGCATTAATTCAGAGTTTACAGGACATCCTTTTAAAGATACATTGTTCACTTAGATGAATTCCACAAAAGCCCTCCTAAATTTTAGAAAGATAAGCCAAATTTTTATCACTTAAATGTTTAATATTTAGATAGGTACATTCATGTTAGACACAGGAGAGTTCTATTTTTATATGCCTTGTTTGTTTTCTGTAGGTAATCAGTTCTGAGAGATGATATGGTAAGACCAGAGTTTAAAACAAAAATACAGTCCTATATATTAAAAGCCTAATATGCTAACTGTCCAGTCGTCTGTTCAGCCAATCAAAGCATAATATGCTAATGATATGCTAAAGTCACTCGCTATGACATGCAGTGACCACCGGGGGCAGATGCTCCGAGACCAGTAGGTTAGTTTGCTGCTGGGGTCCTGCCAATTGGGACTGAGAGAGATGGGCCGGACATGCCCTGGAGCCCCCCATTAGTCCCTTTCTGGCTGGCCAACCTCCTGCATCCCTCCCCTGGCTCCAATTGTGCACCGGTGGGGTCTGGTGGGGTCCCTTAGCCTGGCCTGTGCCTTCTCGCAATCCAGGAACCCTTGGGGGATGTTGGAGAGCTGGTTTCAGCCCCATCCCACAGGCCAGGCCAAGGGACCCCACTGGTGCACGAATTCGTGCACCAGGCCTCTAGTGTAGAATATGAAACCCTATTGTTATAACAGAAGGAGTAATCTGCATTGAGTATAAAGAATATCCAAAGAATGAGAATTTCCAGTGCTTTTACTGCACTGTATGGTAGAGGTGCTATCTCTCATGGGCCCTAGTGGTGATAAAAAGGTTTTCCTGATTTTGTTTTTAGGTACTTTGATATTGGGTAAAGGATTCTATAGATAAAAGATATGAATATTCTAATAATGAAAATGTATATCTTCACCTTTAATTAATGAATTAATAGTGTTATTATGAATTACATTTTGAAGCTTAAGTGAATCTTTGAGAGTCTGATCACTTTAGGATGAAATGATAAAATTAATTTCTGGATTTATAATGCCCAAGGATTGTACTATTGTCTATCTCATCAACCCCTGAGCTTCTGTCATTATTAATTTTAGCTCTGACATCATTAATGACACTGTTTCCTATAAATGAAGGAAATATTATAATCTACTTAGTCACATTGCCAGTAATCATTAAATATTTGAATGAATAAATGAGTTAATGATGGCATGGTTTCCAGGAATAAATGTTAATGAAAATTGGAGATTTTTGTGTACAAGATGATAAAGTGATTTTTAAAGTATTTTTTAGTTCCTTACAGCTGCTTTGTCCAATATGGTAGTTTGTGGTTAGTCCAAACTGAGATGTGGTGTTAGGTATAAAATACTGTATTTTGGAGGTATAGTATGAAAACCAATATAACATATCTCAATACATTTTTTGAATTTATTACATATTGAAATAATATTTTTGATATGTTAGATTAAATTAAATATATAATCAATTTCACCGCTTTCTTTTGACTTTTTTAAATGTTGCGTCTAGAAAATTTAAAATACGTATTTGTGGCTCACATTATATTTATTTTTATTAGACAACACTAGCCTGGAGGTTTAATAAGTTCTTTTTCTTTGGTGGGAAATGTAGGAAAAACCTCCACAAACAAACCTTTCCAGGATATTTACAGATATATGATTTTTTTTTTACTCCTTCCTATCAGATCACCAATTCAGGAGAGTTTGTGTTCCCATTAGATTCTCCACACAAAAAGCCTTATGAAGGTCTTATACTGGGGAGAGTTCAAGAAAAAACTACTTTACCATTAAGGTAGGAGTGGTGATTTTTCAAAATTATATAAATGTATTAATCTTTAGGTTTTTAAAAATTATTAACCAACTGATCATTAATTTTCTTTAATTTTTACATTTTCAAAAATCTGCAAATGTCCCATACCAGAAAAGTATGAATGGCATGGTACATGAAATTTTATAATATTTTTTGTCTTATGTAGTATGTAATTGTCATAATTGTTGAAAAGGAAATTATTAGTACTTAACACTTAAATTGTTGATTTTCATTATTGTTTCTATTAAATTAATTTTAAATTCAGATATTATTTGAAAGGTGAAAAAAATTAAGGCAACTGTAGCTCATATATAAAAAATGTCCTGTAAAATATTATTTACTTTGTTCTCTTTTAACTAGGAATATGGTCCCCATTCCAGATCACAAATTAATTGTCAGTGTACCTTGTACCCTTCACTCACATAAGCCACCTCTTGCTGGTATGTTTTTTAAATAAAATTGTTCTGATTTCTGTCAAATCAAAAAAAAGGATTGAATTTAGTATTTGAATGGTCTAGAGATTTGGAGTTAAATCAGATATGTTATTTTAATTAATCTAAAATTTTATAGCAGAATATATGAATAGTGTTTTTTGTTGTTGTTGTTTTTGTTTGTTTGTTTGTTTTGCTGCTCTTGCTTGTTCTAAAACCAGGAGCTCAGAATAGCAGTCAGAGATGGTTACAATTCCCTTGGTATTTGGTAGAAACTCTCAGGTTTTATGTTGAGGTAGGGTTGCTTTTCTGAGCCACTGGAAAGGTAATTGCTGCAGCCTGCAACTCTCACTAGACTTAATGCTTTAGTATAATGTTTATCATTCAGTTAAACTAAGCAGCAGAGAATAGTGAAAAGTTTTGGCTTTGGAGATTGACTGCCATGAGTTTGAATACTGGTTATGCAATTTGAATGAGTTACTCTAATCATTTTCCACCTCAAAGTCCTAATTTAAAGAGGGAATAATGATATTTAATCTTTCAGATATGTGAGGATTGGTTATAATATATTTGAAATTCTGTAGCATATACTAGAAGCTCAGTGAATGTTATATTTTTCAAGTGAAAGTTCAAACAATAGGATGTAACTTCTTGAGAAATTGAATTTGATATTCAAAGTTTGCTATTCAAATAATTTCTTCAGGAATATATATTTTATTAATTTGATGATCCCTGCTTTGAAAACCCCCAGCTTTTCAAACTGTTACTCAGGAAAACTACAGGCTGCCATCCTGTCATATTATTTTGTAGAAAATGGTATAGTTTATGAGTTAGGATATATAGGAAAGTGAATACACATTCCCCAAAGGATTTTTATTGATAGCACTTAGACTTTCTGTATCTTCAATTGCTTATGTAGAAGAAACAGTGTAGTGTTACTTCATTTGAGAAATATTCAGATGTCTACCTCATGATTAATTTTTTTACTTAGAAGAAGGATTCTCTGTGAATAATTGCCTTTAAACTTTGGACTGCCATAGATTCTTTAATGCATTAAATATGTGACTTAAATGAAAAGTGATGTTGTACTGCTCTTTGAGAAAAAAAAATTGTTTGACACCAGTTATATTTGATGGAGGAATTCTAATTTGTATTCTTATCACTTAAATTTTAATCAGTCAGTGAGTGCCAAAGCTCAATTTAATGTTTGCTTTAGGGCTTATTATTTTACTTTTAAAAATCCAAAAGCTAAGATCCAAAATCTTTCATTCTTAAATAATAATTAAACTATTTATCAATTACTTTTAAATAAAATTATGTTTAAAGAGATAAAGTTGTAAAACAGTAAAAACAATTAGTTTTTTGTTACTACTAATAAAAATTAGTGTTACAGCCTATATGTATGAAATGCAGTTCTGCCATATTCCCGGTAGAGAGCAGCACAAGTACACTTTGAGAACCATTTGAAACAAAAGTTAGATTGGGGGTAATGGGGTGGGGGACGAATCACATTATTCCATATATGTAATCTTTATGCTTTGGGTAAGTAGTGGTAGACAAAAAATATTTGTAAGCCTTTATTTTTGAGTGCATGTTATTATATAGCATGTGCATGTATTTTAGGTGTAGAGCTATACAAATTAAAGCTACCAGAAAGCAGCTTTCAAATTTCTGCAGTATATTTTATTCTGAGATCATAACTCTAGGATTTAGAATGATACATGTTATATATATAATGTTTAGAACTTTTACATGTAAATGTTCTTAAACTGCAAATTCATAAAATGAAAAGTTCTCTTTTGCTTCTAGAAACACCAAGATTTAAAAAAAAATTATAATTTGTTATTTCTGCCTCAAAATATAAAAAGCGGCAAAATTAGCAGCATAATCATTTCAAATAATACATTTACCTGATTTTTAAGTTTTGAAGTTTCCTCCTTAGATTGAAAGATAAGCCATCAATAACTATGATGGCTTATAACCCAACATTATAAATGTATATTCTTAAGTTTAAAGATTTAATAGGAAGATTAGGAAATAAAAGTATTTTAGTCAAACTTTATTTTTTATATTTTACCTTAGATGAATTTCCACTCCTTTTTACTGCTTTACTCAGTAACAGTCTCTATCTGAAGAGTAAAACATAGTTTTATGAGAATCTATATAGCGTTTGAGCATCTTCCCAACCCTGCTCCTTGCTCTCAGAGCAAAAGGAGAATGACTGGCTATGCATGGATTACTTCCTCATTGTTGGTTAGAAGTATATTTACTAATGCCAGATATTATTTATCTAAGTATGTACACGTTATACTCATATTTAAATATATATGCACTTACTTTAAAAATATATATACTTTTATTGATTTCAGCGAGAAAAGAAGAGGGAGAGAGGGAGAAACATCAATCATGAGAGAGAACCATTGATTGGTTGCCTCTTGTACACCCCACACTGGGGATTGAGCCTGCAACCCCGGCTTGTGCTCTGATGGGAATCAAACCATGACCTTCTGGTTCATAGCCTTGATTTATCGGTTTTTGTTTGTAGATGAGAAATGAGGATTTTAACACCCACGCATATGACTTCAGTTTTCCAACAACTTAGCCATACTGGCTGGGCTGCACTTACTTTTTAATTGAGATATAAGTGACATATACTAGTTTCAGATGTACAACATGATTCAATATATGTATATACAGATGGCCCCCAATTTCCGATGGTTCTACTTAACGATTTTTTGACTTTACCTTGGTGCCAAAATGATATACATTCAGTAGAAATCATACTTTGAATTTTGAATTTTGATTTTTTTTTCCTGGGCTAGTGATATGCAGTACCATACTTTCTCAAAATGCTGGGCAGCAGCAGTGAACCACTGCTCCCAGGTAGCCACCTAGTCCCAAGGCTAACCAAATCACTTAAAACCTACAGTGCATTTATTGTGTTACATGATTTTACCCAACTATAGACCAATGTAAGTGTTCTGAGCATGTTTAAGGTAGGCTAGGCTCAGTTGTGATGTTCAGTGGGTTAATTGTATTAAATGCATTTTTGACCTATGATGTTTTCATCTTGTGCTGTGTTATCAGGACATAACCATCGTAAGTTGAGCATCTGTATTGCGAAATGATCACCAACAATAAGTCTCGTTAATATCCATCATCACACATTTTTTGATGAAACATTTTTTTCTTGTGATGAAACCTTTAAGATCTTGCATTTACTTTTAAATTGATACTTAAAATTAATAAGAATAATTTTTTTATTAATTTGCCTTTATGTCATTTACCCTCTTTTGAACTTAAACAAATATTTAGCATCATAAGACTTACTCCTTGATTTTCTATTTTTTGTCAATTAGAAAGAAAAAAAATCATGCGGTAATGTGTTGCATTGAGAAAGGACATGGTAAATGGGTTTAAGTTGTATGTATTTTTCCACTCTAAGTACCTGGTCAACTTTTTCTATTAGACTGTGAACTCTTAGAAAACATGGATATCTGTTATCATAACACTGATTAAAGTAGATACTTAGAATAGTAAATATTTTTGACTGGCTGACTCCAGTTTAGATTCCAGATTAAAGTTCCAAAATAGAGTTGCTAACCTCTTTGTACTGAAAAACTGAACAAATAAGCAAAAACAAAGAGAACCTTGGTTCACTATTATCTTAGACCACATTAAAAGTGAACTGAGGTTGGTAATGCATTGAATTCATGGGGTACAAGTAGAAAAGTGCTACAGGGTTATTGTCCTAAGACTTTGGGGGAAATCTTTCTCTTTCAAGTTCAGTAACATTTAATTCTATACTTATGAAAGGATTAGAAGTCTTTATGTTACCATCTCCTAGATGCTAGCAAAACCCAAATTTAAATTCTGTTGAGTTATAGACAGGCACTTTTAATTCTTTGATTTTTTTTTTTTTAAACAGGGACAATACTTTCAGACAAATAAGTATCTTGCTGTGAGAGCAATTGAAGAACATTATAAAAACATAAAAATTTTCATATATTGGCCTTTAAACCTTACCTACATCAATTATTCCTAAGGAACTCTCCCTATTACTAAAGGGAATTTGATAGATTTCTTCCAAGCTCAATCTTGTATAGCAATTAAGATTTTATTTTACCTGTCTAGTGACTTTTCTTCCCTGACTTGTGATTTTCATACCCAGTTTCTGTAATTAGTGAATAGCTAACTTAGCAATGTGATTAAGGTTAAATTGACTTAAGTATTTGTCTAAGTGAGCATGGTAAAAGCTTCTATGGTATTCTTTTCTTTCTGTTAGTGTTGATCACAGCTACTTATCCAGTATATATGAGATACTTTTTTTTCCAACAAATTATCATTTTCAATAATAATAATAATAATATAACGAATAAGGAATACTTAATTGTGGGAATAATATGGTGAAAATTTTAGGTAAATAAGGATGTATAATTTGAAAGTGAAAGAATGTTCTTAGTACTACCAAGTTATAGCTAGGGGCTTATAGTTATTTGTAATTATATGTTCTGAATATTTCTGGGTCCAAATGTTCATTCATTTTACTTTCACTAAAGTATATGTTTTCAGAGACTTATATTTTATCTTAGTTTTTAAGGTGAGTTGTCTTTGTATTGTTACTGTAGACTTCTTCTTTATTCATGGATTGCATTTATTAAAAAATAAATTAAGTTTGTACTCAGAAGACATGTCAGCATTATTGGAAAACTGAAGTCATCTGTGTGGGTGTTAAAATCCTCATTTCTCATCTACAAACGAAAACCGATAAATCAGGGCTACTGGAAGTTCTCATAGTGTTTTTTTCAATCTCAAGGGTACTCATTTCAAATGACTTTCTACCTATAAATAGTAAAGCCTGTGACAAAATCCTTGAGATTAATTTGTTCTCTCTCTTTTTTTTAAGGAAATATTTTTGCTCTTCTACTCTTAACTGCTAAAAGGATATTGATTCCTTTCTTAATAATAATTTTTGTGTTTTTTTCTCTTTCGAACAGAGGTTTTAAAAGACTATATCAAGCCAGATGGGGACTGTTTGGAATTGTTTGCTCGAAATTTACAGCCCGGTTGGACTAGTTGGGGCAATGAAGTCCTCAAATTTCAACACGTGGATTATTTTATTCCTCTAGAGTCTAGAAGCTGACTCATCTTAAAGTTGTGATTTTCATCAGTTTTTCCTCATCTCTCTCCCTTTATTCTGATTTTTTTTTTATTACCAACCAGTATGCTTAGAAATGTAAACAGGACATGGTTGTTCAGCAAAATGGCCAGAGGTGTCTAGCCTTCATGTGATTTTGAGATGAATTTTACTTCAGTGGCAATAGCATTGTTTATTATTCTAGGCTCATCCTATATAATCCTATATAATAAAAGAGAAAGATGGTAATTGGCATACGACCGCTACCCTTTTCATTGCCTAATCAGTGAGATATGCAAATTAGTCGACAGCCAAGATAGCGGCTAATTTGCATATGTCAGCCCCAAGCCTCAGACTGAAGCTTTAGGCTGGGGACTGGGCGGAGCCATCCAGCGATCATTGATGGCGGCAGCAGCAGGGAACCAGGCGGAGCCAGCCAGCTATGCTTGATGGCGGCAGCGGCAGGGAGCTGGGGGTGCTCCGGCCCAAGCCTAAAGCCTCCGCCAAAGGCT